ATTTAAACCCCCCCCCCCCCCCGAAAAAAAAATTCTGTTGCTGCAAATTAGAAATTTATTTAATAAGAGGTTAAAGGTTTTGAATGAATTTTTTTTTAAAACTTATAATCTTTTTTCCTTAAAAGTTTTTTTTATGGGTAACATTATCTTAAACTAAGCCAAAATTTAAAATTTTGTTAAGATAAATTAAGGACTCTTACAGTTTTATGCTCAATTAAGAATGGCATTTTATCACATATGCTTATATCATTATATGCTTTGCAGTGTTCAGGGAAATTCTCTATCAAAAAATCAACAAGTTTTTCTCCATCTTTTCTGCTGGTAATAAAATTTGTTTATATTTCCCTGTTAATATAAAATTTATCAGTATAGTTTTTAAGCAATGGAATTGATTTGGAGGAAATTTTTTTTTTTTTGAAAAATTTCATCAAACTCCTGTGTTTAAGTGTTAGAAATCTTTAATTTATCCTTTAAGGACCAAAATTATAGTTGCTTAGCAATGAACTTATCTGAAAAGAAATTCTAGAGGAAATTTTCATAGAAAAGTTTGGCAGTTAGGAAAATTTTTATCAAATTCATCTCTTTGTGATAAAATTAATTAATGTTCATCTGTAGATATCATATTTATCCCCATGGTTGTTTAGCAACAGTCTTGTGCGGTGAGAAATTTCCCTGAACATTATACAGCATTCCTTGTGAGTGATTCCTCTGAGGTCCAGCTGTTTTAGAAATTATATTAACTGTTATGAATGTTTGATAAAATGCTGAATGCAAGGTTCAAAACAACTTTTATTTGGCTGTTTGCCTTCCTAAATAAAATTATGATCTACAATGTGATAAATAATAGATGATGTGTATTCTATGTTGCTCTATAAATGTTATATTATTAGCAATGTGTATTTTTCCTTTTATATTTTAAGACTCTAAGCAATTTTGAACTGTGATAAATAAGTATATATTTATTACTCTATAGCTTAATCTGCAGATTTTACCTAAAGTGAAATCTTTTAATGGTGTGCTAAGTCATGTAATTAAAGGAATTTCAAAGCCATTTGTTTTTTAAGATTCGTAAATGCTTTGAAATGTTGTTGTTGAATTGTTTCGAAAATAAAATAAATGTTCAACTTAAAATGTGTTTTTCTTTTCCTCCATTTGTTCATTTTTTTATTGGTTAACCATCTAATTGCATTTCATATTTTTTTGTTGTGCATTTATTTTTTTATTGCTTCATAACGGCTTGGTAATTATAAATATCATTAACATTTTTAATAACCTTTTTATAATAGTATGTCTACAGTAGTTGATTTCGATTTATTTATTTAATGGTTTATTTCTTAGAGAAGAAAAGTATCATTAACCCCTTAATGCAGAATTTTTATTAAACATATTTTACATATTTTTTTTAAAAATTATTTTCTATTAATTTAGGTTAAAATAAGTGAAAAATATTATATTTTAATTATTTATGGTTATAAAATACTGCATGAAACAACGGTGTCTTTCTCTGTGTTTACGGTAATCTTCCAAACACAGCTCACTTCCAAACAATAATTAAAATTTGCACTTACTTAGATTTAAGCGAAGCATTTATTCATCGTTGAAATTTCTTTATTTTGCAAAATCAATTATTGATGATTTTTTGAATATGAATGAAATAAATATTATTCAAACTAATTTTTTTAAATTTTAGTACAAATATAATTACAAGAATCTAACTGATTTTTTTAGTAACTATTGGACTGTTTTTATACTAATTAAAAAAACATCAAGATATATTTTTACTGGTAATTAGAGTCCCAGAAAAAATATATGAAAGGATCCCATCTGTTTCAAAAGATTAAATAAACAAATATCATTCAAATAATGATCAATTTGACAAAATCATAATAATTTTAGAATAATTAAGCAATCAGATGATTAACTATTCTGCACTTAGTTTGCACATATAAAATCTAGAACGTGTTAAAATCTGACAACAATATAAAGTATCAAAGAACATGGTAAAGCAATTTATTTTAATATAGGCTGAGAATTATTGTCCTGAAGAAAATATCCTTAAATCAACAAATATCATACAAATATTGATTAACAACAAAAATATGGTATCACTAAGAATGATATCAAAATCATGTTCTGTTCTTAGAATGCATGACTTCTAGAGAGCATCTGATGAAAGCCGACTGTTAAAGTTTTTGTGAAAGAGTTTATTTTTATAAAAATAACAGATAAATTAATGTAAAATTTATTTATGTGAAACATAAACAAATCAAATCAACAATATCAACTTAAAAAAAAATCTTTTAATGTAAAAACCTTCATCTTTAATTATATTAAAATTAATTTAAAATTCATGCAAAAAAGATGCACCTTTATGAATAAAATTTAATTATTTTTGTGTACTCATCTATAAATATCTAAAGTTTAAAACAAACAAAAAAAAATATTTTTAATGAATTTTCAAAGAGCTATTTAATATCCTTTAACTTATAACACGGGACTTCAAAAGAACTGTACCCATCAGGATAATGCTACTATTTTAAATTTCTCAATATTTTTTTGTAAAAGATTATTTTAGGTACAAAAATTTCTGTAACAAAACTAATACGAAATTTTTAACATTTATTAAAATGCTGTTACTATGGAAAAAGCTAAATAATTTTGATTTTTTTTGTTGTTGCTCATATGGAAAGAAATGTAAAAACTTTATAATCAAAATATATATTGTACATATAGATTTAGTGGTTTAACAAGTTTGAATGAAATAAAAAGTGGTTTAACAAGTTTGAATAAAATAAAAAGGGAGATAAGATTAGGGGGTTTCAAGGAAACCCTAGGGTTTATCAATTAAATTACAACAGATTTCCGAATATTTCCCAAGGTTTTTAAATCAGATGAGACTGTTGAGAAAGATGAATGGGATTGTAGAAAGATCATAAACTAAATTATTTAAATAATTCAAAAAAATGGAATGATTCCCAGAAGTCAAGTTTGGTAGATGAAGAGCAATGTTAACTGATTTTATTACACGAAAATTCAAACATTGATTAGAATTCCAACTATGAAATACAATTTTTAAATTACAATTTTGCAAATACAGAGGGACCGCAAAATATATAAACGGTCAAATATCTCATCGGATCAAAAATATAAAAAAAATAATAATACCAATATCGATCAAGAACCCAAAATTTTTTATTGTAGAAGTGGATTTTCAGGAAAAAATTAATTTGATTTATACAGATTATTCCATTTTCTTTTACAGATGGAGTCAGTCGAGAAAATAAAAAGGGGATTTAAAAAAAAATCGATTTAATTTTAAATAAGCTTTTCAATGGTACTAAATTCTATCACCCCCAAATCTGGGAGTGAGTGTCGACTTTGGTATCATATAAAATGCCTCTTTTAGATTTTTGATACCATGCGTTTTTTTTTCCAAATATTTTACCGTTTTCATATTTTTTAGACACCTTGTAGCGGGTTAAAACTTCCTGCTACAGAGCCCAACTGATTTTTTTCTAATTAAAAAGTTATTAAAATCAAATCATCTGTCTTCTCAGCAGTAATTTCGTCTATAAAATGTAAGCAAGACCACGACTAATGTTGCATACAGTGTAACGAGATGCATTGGGTTTAACGAAAGAGCTCTGTTGCACAAATCTTCATCACACAGGCAAGCTTGGATTTTCAAGTATTGTTTGGTGTCCTTGCTTTTAATTTCGTGTTCAAAGCATCCGGATCTCTTTTGAGGATTTCCCACGCATGTGTAGGTGATGTTTTTTGGATCTGCGGCAAAAATATCTTCATTAGCATAATGTTTCTTAAACTGAAGAATATATATAGTTTGTCTAAAATGAGAACTCCTCCAGACATTCGTCTGGATCTGTGGCGGTGACTATGGTAACTAGGTATGACTATTTGAAGTAGGGGTGCAGGGTCACTGTTTTGGAGTGGTTTCGGCTCGGGTCAGCGGGAGAAAGGGAATCTTTTTCTTTGGTCTATTGTGTTAGTCCTAGAGTGAAGCTACCCTCCCTGAAATGCACCATTCTTGTTTCCATAGCACCACGGCCTCAGACTTTGTGGCGGGAGGAGTTCTTAGCTTAGACAGACATACAACGTCGTGCATCGACATAAAATTTGTTAAGTGTACAACTGGGTAAAAACTGGAAATTTTGACGAAAATTATTATTATCTTTTACCACGTTTATATAAACTTGCCTTCGTGTATGTCTGTCCGGGTGGAATTTTGTAATCGATTTTAAACTAACTTCCCAACTAGCTGCAAACTTCAAATTTGGCACATAGTTCAGAATTGGATGACAATGCATGAAAATGAAGAGAAAAAAGAGATACAAAGTAAAATAAAATTAAAATTTAAAAGAAAATTATTTTCGAGATTGTCTTTTGTTGTCGATTCCATTATTTCAAATTAGTATTACATGTCAGGTGAAAAGATTTTTATTGTCGGAGTATTTTTATTGACTGAAAAATCTCGTTGTAAGATCCAGATTTTCCTCATTCATTTCCAGATTGTTTTGGTTGTCATCAGCATACAACTAATGAAAGTCGTAAAGATAGTGTTTTTCTATAAAGATTTTTGTATCCCTAATTTAAAATGAAAGTTCTATTATTTTAGTAGTGGTCTTGTAGTAGTCTTGACTACTCTTGACTAAGAAAAATAATCTAAATAAAAATATATATTTTTAAAAACCACGTTTTTTGTAGTGAAGAATAATAATTGAAAAGTAATAATTTTTAAAAAATATATAATAAAAATTAAAAAAATTATAATTTAAAGTAAAAAAATTTAAAATAAAAAATAATATTTTCAAAAACCACGTTTTTGTAGCAGAGAAAAATAATTAAAAAAAAAAATTTGAAAAACGAAAAACGTGGGGCGCATGAAATATATAACAGTACATATACACATACGTATGCACATGCACAGTCACATATACATCCACATACATATGCATATAGACAAACATATTCCACATCCACATTCAGATACAATTACAGATATACATACACATATACTCAAGAGCACACATACACACACTAATATAACATTACTGTTATGTATTTCATGCGCCCCACGTTTTTCGTTTTTCAAATTTTTTTTTATAATTATTTTTCTCCACTACAAAAACGTGGTTTTTGAAAATATTATTTTTTATTTTGAATTTTTTTATTATATGTATATTTAAACTTTAGTTCATATGCGTTCTAAAATTCCTAAAAAATCTTCGATTTTTAGAAATAAAATTACAGTTGTATTTTTCATTTGCTGACATACGAAACCGGAAGTAAACTGCCGATAACTGAACTAATTTTTTTCTTCTTCATTTTATTTGTATAAACTATATTTCTAAGACAAAATTTATTTTCAAGAATTAATTTTTGAATATTTAAATTTTTTTTTTGTTTCCAGAATTTCTTTGCATATTAAATGCATTTTCTGAAGAAAGTTTGATTTTAAGAATAATTCTCAACTCTTCTAACACACATTACAAAAAAAAAAGTTAGTTATAGAATTTTTTGAAATTTTGTATGTAGGTTTTATATGTATAATATTGGCGATGTTTTGAACTAAATGCTACTGAGTAGTGTAACTGTGAATTTGTTAATTTTATCAAGTTTTAAGTAAGAATATTTAGAATTTTTCTTTAAAAATTCAGCATGAAATAATATATTTTGTTCTATTTTTCAAAGTGAATTGAAAAATTTGTTGTTTTTAAGCTCAGATTTAGCCTTATTTTGAAAAATATTTCGATTTTTAAACTTTAATATAAATTTATAATTTTAGGGCCCGTGCTAAACAAACATAAAATTAAGTGAAGAAATTCTATCGAAACCAATCGGATACTATAAATTAAGAATCTATCTTCTATATCCGAATATTTGGGAATGTCTTACTATTAAATAAATATTAATTTGATGTATGTGATCAAATGCAAATTTTAGTTGGTAAGGGTATTACTTAAACACAAAACTTTTCATATTGCATTATCTTTGAATTAACAGTGAGCTTAAAATTATATATATATAAACAGAATAAATTTTGCCCCAATGATCGGATTTTTATGTATTACGCGCTGCTAATTTTTACGGTGCAAAAGGTTGCGCTCAAATATTTTAATTACTGCTAATTGCTGATTAAGTCATGAAATCAAACAATAAAACGTATTTTCTCTAAATAAACGTACTTTCTTCTTGATAAATTTGAGTCATCAGAATGTATAGGATCTGCTCAATTTGGAAAATATAAACCCAATACTTATTTCCGAAAAATGAACTTTAAATGTTTATTTCAATTTCTGTATATTTCACAATTAGATTAGATTACATCAGGAAATTTTTAAATGAAGACTTTTTGATCACCATAATTAAAAATCGTTTATCCGTAGATAATTCCGCGTGAAAAATAGTTTTTAATAACTATTTTATTCCATGACGGTGTAGTTATTTTTAAGCCAATTTTCTCATTATTTTAAATGTAATTTTGGAGTGATGAAATGCACTATGCGAACGAAATAAGTCGAAAAATTTACTTAAGAATTAATAATTTAAAAATACGGCTCCTTTAAAAAAATAAATTATAAACTAAGAACCCATTCGAGCAATTTTTTTTCTTATTTTATTCTTAAAATTAATCTAACTATTTGAATATTTTACAACTCGCAATTTTTTCAACCATTATTGAATAAATAGTGCTAATGAAGTGACAGCAAAACGTGGTACAAAAAAATTCCTAAAAATTAATCCCTTGCTAATTAGGAATCTTTTTCGTTTTTTAAAAAAAAAANTACGAAGACTAATCGAAAATATATATATATATATAAAAAATATGTTGTTAGATCTATTTTAATTATCCAAAACTGGTTTGAACTGTAAATACAAAGTTTCATACATTTTGGAATTTGTGCAACGTATCTAATTATAAGCAATTAGGCATTTTATAATTTATTTATATAAGAATAATTATATAAGTAGAATAATTATGGTATTTCAACTAATGTTGAAACTTTTAATTTCAAACGAGAATTTTTTTCCTTTTATAACTATTTTAATTAAATGTTTATTAGTAAAAAATATAATAAAATTTTTATTTTTAATGCATAATAAAAGTGCATGGTAGATTTTTAATTATAGCCACAATCCAAGGTTTTTGACGAAAATCCCACGTGTCTTCTCCAAAACACCAACTATGAATGGTTTTAAAACGCATTTATCATTTGGAAAGAAAACATATATTAATATGATTTTTTCTTCAAATTAAAAAGAAAATACCACGACAGTCCCCAGATTTGAGCATATGACTTTCACCACTGCAATCATTTTCCCATATATGTAACTAGCTGATCTTTCTGGTTAAGAAAAATTATAAAAGCCCTTATTTACCTTATATTTTTAAAAATGGGGTAAAAAAATGGGGTCTTTTTCTAGTTAGTTGAAAAAATAATTTTGGGGTTTTCTAGTCTAGTTCCTTGACCTAATTAGTCTATTATTGCAAAATTTGGTGCAGTGAGAAGAATTGAATTTCATAAAATGACAAAGTTTAGGCATTTTATAAAGTTACTATTTAAAAATTTCTTTGATTCGAATTAAAACTTCTTGAGATGTATTGGAATTGGCAAAAAGTAAAATTAGCTTTTAAGGGTTCAAACTTTCGCCCGCTCTAATGACAACTATTAGGACCAAATTCTCCAGATTGCGGCTTTCGCTCATATTTTTATAGTTAAAAATCTAAATCTGTCGGGAAAAAAGGTTCAAATTTAGAAAAAGAATGTTTTTGTGCCTGATTTTGTAATTTAAAATATCGTCTGCGCAAAGTAGTTAGCATATTGAAGGTTACTCCCATTATAATTGGCTCTTAGTTCGTGATCCTTAAAACTAAAGTTATTCAGGGTGATTATTATTTTTGTGTTTTGTCTCAACGATATATTATTTTCTCCGAGTATGCCTCATATGGAATACTACTATTTAAAATTTCTTTCGATCTTACTGGAAATAAAATCGATTTCTTACTGTTTGAGATATAGCTCCATTTTAAACAATAACTGTCTTCTGATTGGCAGTTCATTACGCCACATTTTCGTCTTATTTCTTCTTCTGTTGGCGCTCTCGTTCTTTCTTTTTCCCCAATATAATTCTCAGAAACTGGAAATTTCCGATCTTTGACTTTGGACAATTCTTTTAGACGTTCATCTTTCGTTTCTGGCGAATCATCCCAAAAGCAATCATAACATTTTAGGCTGCTGGCTAAATAAAAGATAATTAAGTAATTAATAGGATAAAAAATTTGTCTTTTCATGAAGTAATTAAATAGGATAATAAAGTAATGTGAGATAATAAAATTAAAAATTTTTTTTTGGTTCGAAAACATTTAAAGGTTTTGTGGGTAAAAAATGATAACCTACACTTAAAAAGTTTAAAGATAAAAAAAATTTCCTTTTATTCCAGCTGAAATACATGCTCTCCTATAAAAGATCTCAAAGATCCTATAAAGATCAAAGATTTTTATAGGATCTTTGTCAAAAGCTGCGTTGCTGCTTTTTGACAAAGACTCGTACCACTAGAATGTCATGCAAGGTGTTGTTGGATATAGGATGTGGGTTATCACTTTTTACACCCGAAATCTTATATTTTAGAATAAAATATTTTGCTTCCAATTAAAAGCTGTTTTTGGAAAATGTAGAATGCTGAAAATAAAATTTAAATAATAAAATAACGCTCTTTATTAAGAATTATACAAAAAAAAAAAAAGGCTTTCACAATTGAGGGTTTAACAAATTGTGGTCATTTATAGTTTCTGGTTCATTTTCACTAATGGGTTCAATGTGAAATGGTAGATATTAGGCTATGTAGCATTACAAAATTTATGCCCATAATGAAAATAACGCATCTTAACAAAAATAACCAAAATATAAAGTGAAAAAAAGTTGAAGTTGTAGTTTATGTATTTTGTAATTGTTTTAAAGAAATTGCAGTTTAAACTATCTGTTATTTAAAAGTTGAAAATGGGGAAGTAATTTTGCTTTGATATTTTTTAAAAGTAATACTTATAAAAAGAGTTATTTTTATCTTTCTTTTTGGATACAGGCATTTATCCAAAAGAAGTGATTATTTATTTTGACCGAAAACTTGTGAGGTAACGCTATTTCTTCGCTTTTTTTTGTTCCTTCTACTACAGTCATAAAGGCCTAGCAGGAGAGAAGTAATTTAAGGAAATGGGCACACATTTTTTTAAAATCATTATTGTTTTTACATATTTATTATTTTTTTTTATTATTTCTTCAGTTAGACAATATTTTATACATTTTATACTACAAACATATTTTATATATATTTAAAAATTAAAACACTATCTGAAAGATACAATGGAAAAAAGACATTGAAATTTTTCATGAACTATAACTAACACTTAACTTTCCTTTAATTTCAAAGACATTAAAAGTTTCAAACTTTTCCCAGAAATTTATGTTTTCAACTTATCAGAAAATAGATTTCTAATTCAAAGCATGCAATAACTTCCATGCGCAAATTGAATTCTATAAAGCAAAAATAAATTAAAACTTAACTAAAAAACCTTTTAGCAGAAAGAAAAAGTATGAATGAAAATTATTAAACTATGTTGAAAAAAAATTGTTGTACTAAAAAAAATTCTAAATTGTTCAATAATTTACAGTAAATAATTGATAATTACAATTATTAAACGTAATAGTACTTTTTTTGATCGCTGAGTTCGAACTGTAAAAAGCTAAAAAAAAAAAAAAAAAAAAAAAAAAAAAAAAAAAAAAATCGTCAACTGGTTAAGGTATTACTCACATGATAATGCTTTGTTAAATTACATGTAAATCATCAAATTCAGTTCTAAAAAAGAGCTTTTTATGGGATTTAAAAAAAGTAAATAATATTAAAAAAAGTTTTAAAGTTAAGAAAAATTATTGAAGAATAGATGAAAGTGTCCAAATAACTCCTAGATGCTACCTTAATAGCTACATCTAAGCACGAAATTCCACCAATGAATTAACAATTTTAATGCTATAAAGAACAGCTGAGTAGAATTGAATATTTATTTTGGCATTTTAACTGGATGGAATTAATGGGAGCATTAAGCAATGAATGCAGCATTGAAAAGAACCATTGAATTGAATATTTACATGGTATTTTAATTAGCATGAGTTGATATGTGAATTACTGGTAACTATACGCAATGAATATAGCGTTGAAAAGAACTATTGAATTGAACAGTTACTTTATTATTTTAATTAGCATGAGTTAATATGTGAATTACAAAAAACTACTCAATAAATAAAGCGTTGAAAAGAACGATTGAATTTAATATTTACTTTATTATTTTAATTAACATGAGTTAATATGTGAATTACTGGAAACTACGCAATGAATATAGCGTTGAAAAGAACTATTGAATTGAACAAATACAAAAAACCAAATTATCATTTTAATTTAGCAATTCCAATAATTTATGAATATGATATAAGGGGTATTCCTTAAAGACATTAGAAACCTTAAAAGTAAAACAGGTTTTGAATATATGTTTCCTTAAAGATATCATATATTAGAAACCTCGACAAAAATGAGGTCTAAAAAGTATACTGGTTAAGCATCGCAGATTAATGTTAAAGTTAGGAAAAACAAAATTCCTGTCGAACATTCAAAACTTGTTTGATTGCATAAGAAAACTTGGAGGTGTTTACAAAAATGTCTTACAACACCTTCATTCTATTTCCCTTTCAATCAAATATTTATTGATATTTTCAGTTTCCCCTTCATTTCCCTTAAGATTCACTAGAACGCGATAGTGTTATTGTTTATTCCTAGCTAAAGTCTTACATGCTACTCATAATGTTTAATTTTTAACATAGATTAAAGTTGGTTTTTACGCAACACCAAGTATAGTATTTGTGTATTATGTAATATATTATAGAGGGTGATATTATTTACAAATAATGAGCAATAAATTTTACTTAGCAATAAACTATGATTTGTTTGTAATAATGAAGTGTGCGAAATTTATGCTATTTTGTAAATTTTTTTTTAAGATACTTTAAAACACGTAACACTTGTGTTAGGTATATAATTTTTGAGATCAAAAATAGGTTGTGCATTCAATATTTAAACTAATTTTACTTTTACATTAGAAAAATTCAATATTTATAATCTGAGTCGCTGTGGTTCAGGGGATAGAGCATGCACCTCCTAATTTGGTTACACAGTTTCGAATTCCAGTGTTGCCGGGTTGTTTCGAGCACGCAGCAACCTCAGTGCTGACGTAAAATATCCTCAGTGATAGACGGATCATGGGTTCGAACCTCTTTACGGTCAGTTTAACCGTGGGTGATTTCCGTAGTTTTCCTCACCATGTTGCTCAAATACGGATTAATTCCATTAAAATGTCCTTTTCGAAAGCTAGTTTGTCCCAGTACTTGATCCATAAGTATCCCTGTCTTCTGTGTAGCGTTCATTGCTACAAGGCTGCGGAGTTGAACATCGATGATTATTGACTTTAAAATAGGGTCGACTGTTCAAGACCGGTTATTAAATAATTTTTTTTTTAATAATCAATTTGGTGAAGTAATAATAATCTTTCTTACTTGTAAAAATGCAAAGGAAAAACGTGAGAGAGAGCAATAATCCTTTCAGCCCGATAGAAAACATATTCAGATTTCGAACACTAACTTAACATGTTTAGGAAAAATACTCAGTTTCAGTCAATACTCTTGTCGTATATTAAAAATGACACTACTCAATTTATCTTTTCTTATCAATGCATTCCGCAAATGATATGAAAGCGAAAGATAAATAAACATGAAATGAAACTAAGAGGAAATAAAAAGAGGTGAACAATACAGCTAACACGATTTGTTCATTTAATATCGCAGCAAAATAAATTATGCAAGAATTACTTTATTTTTCCTCACTGTGAGGGGAAAAAAGGGATCTATCTGATGACAAATTAAATGACAATAAAAACCTTGAATTTAAATATTTTTATATCAATTAGCTGATATTTAATTAAGATTTAATATGTAGAACTGTACAAGATTAATTATTAAAGAATACACATGTATATATGCCATTAAATTTTATACATGCCATTAAATAAATCAGCTGTCCCGGATGCTTGGGAGTAAGAGATGTGTAATTATCAAAAAAAAATTTTTTTTTTCTGTATCAGTTACAAAGTAATACTGATGCAACTGATTGTGAGTTATAAAAACCTAATACTTTTTGATAATAAACCTAATACCTAATCACATATCTATTAATCTTAATTAATAGAGGGTACAAGCTGATATTGATTCAAATGATGGTATCAACTATGAGAACCCGATGTTTGTTAATTCAGATTTATATATATATATATACACAGTACAGAGCCCGCAATCCGGAAATCAGAAAACCGGAAAACCAAAAAACCGGAACGAAATTCGATAAATTTTCCCACCATTTAAAAAAAATAAAATTTTTTCCTCATAAGATTTCAAGATTTTTCTTTCTTTTTTGAAAGATGTTTACCTTACCATCATTTTGGAAACAATCATTAGTGTATTACTTCATCGTTTTTTCTTCTTTTTAAGATTATTTCCAAATATATATTTTTTTAGTTGAGTTTGACAATAAAAAAACGGCTTTTTGCAGCGATTCAGAAAACCGGAAAAATCAGTTATCCGGAATAGCGATGGTCCCGATCCCGAAGAAAAATATCCTTTCCATTGTAAAGATAATTACTAAAAAGACAAAAATTCATCAGAATATATATATATATATATATATAATTTTTTGAGTGCTCCTCACACTATTGTATTAACGCATGTACATACAACGTATACATGNTTCATCTATCAAAAGGTACCTCGTGATTGAATAAAATTAGCATGTCTTATATACCGGTGAATTGATGTTTAATATTCGTAGTGGTAGTTACGCCACAATACTCCCCCACCAGAATTTTATCTGGGATAGAATTCGATGTACTGATACCACTAGTTGCTGTACTTGGGAAAGACCGGGAGAGCTGGTTTTAAGGTCACCGGTTTTTTGAGTGCTGAATGTGAGAGATGTATTAACTTCACAGTCGTAGTCGCTCCAGTGTTGCCATTAGCAGTCGAGTGTATGCAGGCAGACGTTGCGTTTCATCGAGGCGAGACAGAGTAGCAACAGCGTGAGGAGGTTGATTATGTCGCAGTCACAAGTAGCAAGTCAACTGTTCAATGTGGATCATCCAACGAAGTATGCGTTACTGTCAAGATTTTTGTGAAGTGGGCGTGTTCAAATCACGTCTGGAAGTTATCAATGTGGGGGCGGAGTTATCGATCATGCCAACCTTCATCTATCACAAGGTACCCTGTGATTGAGTCTAGTCTATTAGGTGGTTCGGGATGCCTGAGGCCGGAACGGCCCTTTACCCCTTCACAGTGTGATGAGAGTCCTTGGGGTATTTCCTTGAGGTAGTAAGTAGTATGATAAATCAAAGTAGATGCCTCGTGATTAAATCAAGTTAGCATGTCTTATATACCAGTGAATTGATGTTTAATTTTCGTAGTGGTAGTTACACCACAGATGTATGAATTACTGAAAGAGCGAAACCATTTCACTATTAGAGCAGATGTATATATGTTAAATATACAAACCAATACTATATTTATTAACGCTAATTAAAGATATTAAAGTTACATTGTATAGAAAATTACAGTCAAATTAATAATGCACTGTAATTAATAATGCACAAAATCAAAAATTTTATTATAAAACATTTTTATTATTATTCAGTTTACTTCAAAATTTTATAAATTAATTAGTACCAAAGCTCAGGGAAGCAAGTTTTTTTAAAATTCCAGTTTTTCTTTCTAATAAATATTTCTTAAACACTGCCCGTTTTAAAAATTATTGTTTTTCTGAGAATATATAATTAAAATTTGTTAAGCTGAAACCTCTTTATATTTTAGAGATAATTTAAGCAAATTGAGAAATATTCGCATTACTTAATTATCTGAATATATTAAATGAAATGTAGTTATAGCTTTCTTACGGGAAAATAAATTGTATTCGTAAATAGCAAGAATACTTAATGCTTGTTTATAAACGTATAATTTAATTAGAGATAGTTAAACAAATTTTCTTACCAGTTTGGCCAACACCTGAAACAAAAAACAAACGGTAATTAATAATATTTCAATGATTCACGCTGCTTAATTTAAAATTCAAATTCAAGTAAATAATCATGGATAATCGCGCTTAATGTGTATATATATATATATATATATATGCCATTAAATAAAGCGGCAGTGCCGGATGGCTGGGAATAAAAGAAGGCTGAGTATCAAATGAAAGATTTCTGTATCAGTTACAAAATAATACTGATACAACTGCAAGAGTTGCAAAAACCAAATACCTTTTGATTATAAACGTACTACTTAATCACATCTGGGTCATTTTCACTGAAAAGGTATAAATAGACTAAAAAATTTTCTTGAATTAAAGTAATTAAAAAAGTGATAAAAATTACATAAATGCCTCTATTTATTTGATTTTTTTCTTTTTTTACATTTTTGTTTTGTCATTTTTTTCCTAAAATTTGAAGAGAAAAATGTTTTTAAACATCACAGAAATTATTTAGAAAAATTGCCAATATTTACTTCTCCGATAAGAAAAAGTTAAACTTAATTGATTTTCTTTAAAAATACAAACAAATTAACATATTTGTTCCATTTTAAAAAATATCAATTAACAGAAAATAGTTTTTTAATTATTAAAATTGCATTATGGTTATCTAACACATTGTCTCTTCCATTGACTGTGTCTTCTCCTCTATGGACTCGTTATGTCCACGGAGGAGACAAAAACTAGCTCTTGAATTTTAATGATTTTTAATTTTAAAGTTACAAAAATGGGGCAGTTCTTTTTATTAAATATACTATTTTTGCAGTCCAAAATTCATCTATCAAAAAGAAAATAATTTTCTCTTACCTTCTTTGTGATGTCCACGGAGTATACGGTGAGAACTTTGCCAAACCCCAGTTGAACACAACAATCCAAAACTGACACCAAAGAAAACAAAAACAACTGATAGTTAACATTAGAAAATGGAATGGTTACCAGGTATTTCGCATATGCATTTTTTTATTGCATATTTACCGAACTATATTAGTTGTCCATGGAGGGAAATTTCATTTTTGATGGACTAAGTTTACTAGTCATTTATTTTATAAAAATAAATTTTTTAAAAAAAAATATTAAATAAGAAGTTACTATAAACATTTAACTAGATAAAACTACAAAAATCATTAAAATGGTATTTAAATTGTTTAACAGCCATTAAAAATTATTTTGTGTCACAGACGTAGGGACGTCCACGGAGGGGATTTTGAAGTTATGTTTTATTAAAAAATAAGAATGAAATATTAAATACATTTGACAGAAATGCATATGATTTGTTAGTTAGAACTTTACGAAAAATGATGAAGAAAAATATTAGGAAATCTGCTGTATTTCCTACTATTTATTACTAAGGGACTTAAAAAAATCACCTTTTTGTGAGAATGACCCATCTATTAATTTTAATTAATAGAAGGTTACAAGCTGATACTGATACAAATGGATTAATTATAAAAGCCGGATACTTTTTAATATATTTTTGAAACTGAGGGGATACTTGTTAATTTAGATTTTTATAAATTTATTAAATAAAAGAAATCGTTTTCATTGAATTGAGTTTTTTTCTGAGTTCTCTTAAAATACAGATTAAGAAATAATTTTTTCTGTAAAATTAAGAGGCAGTTAATTGCAATTTAACACGAAATTACAAATATTCTTTTAAAATATATACAACATCCATATAGCAATATTTATAATTTACAATCATTATGATTACTTCAATGCAGTTATAAAAATATTATAAATCTATGAATAAAAATTAAAATTACTTACCTATCACAAATTCATATATTTTATTATTACTGTAATATTATAAACTAAACTGAATTATTTTAAATTAAATTAAACTTGCTATAAACTTAACTTACTATAAACTAAATGAAATTCTAAATAAGCTAATTAAGTTCATTTATTTTCTAATGATTTAAACAGCTACCTTAAAATCATTTAAAAAAGGTAAATTCTGATATTTTTTTAAAATTTAACTTATGAAGCATTGCAAACAGTATTAATTTCTTCAAAGTATTCAGAAAAAAGTTCCTGTGAAAACTATACAGTAAACCGAGCACAGTGCCCCCTCTCAGGGTCTGATTATCGCCTACGCCCAATAGGCATGGGCCTAAGGCCCATAATTTCTGAGGGACCTCCAAAATTAGCAAGAAGTCTAATGAAAGGCAGGCTAGCTTTGTGATGGCAGCTTACAATAAAAAATGATTAAGCTAATCAGTGATTTTTAGCAAAAATCACTGATTTCAATTGTTTGTGGTCACCAAACTATTTTTATTTTGACGTAACATTGATTTGTTGTTTTACATTTTGCCTTGTTTTATAGATACGTATATCTTAAGAAAATTTACAGATACGTATATCTTAGAAAAATACTCTTCAATAGTCTGCTTTCAAAAGTTTTTAGAATGTTTCTCTTGAATCTAGCAGTTCAATGGATTATTTTTTATTATTAGGACTATTCTTCATTAATTTAATTTCAAAATATTTTGTAAGGGGTCTGGAAAATTTGGTGGGCATTGGGCCTGAATTTGTCTTGATCGGTCCCTGGCCCCCTCCAAAAAAAGAACCACACTTGAATAACTTTTGATCTAATGGTCGGATCTGCACGTTCCATGACTCAGTTTTAATGGTTCAAGGGGGTGACCTCAAATATGCTAATTAGTGAAGACGATATTTTAAGTTATGAAATCAGACACAAAAACTACCGCTTCAACTTTCGCTGAATAAACATGCTTTTTTTTTCTCCCGGCGAATTCGAATTTCTGTCCCCCAAAATATAGAACTAGCCCCAATCTGGAAAATATGGTCACCATAGTTTGGTCAGAAGGGCGATCCAAAGTTTGGACCTCATAATGTTAATTTTATGTTTTGCGTATTTTGCCATATCTCAATAACTTTAATGTTCTTAATTTTCTTTGTTTTCCTCTTTTTGTCTTTATATATATATATATGGAATAAGGATTATTTAGACTAACAAATACTTTAATAATGAAAAAAAAAGAAAAAGATTTGGATTTCAAAGTGATAATTGTTATTCGTCGTGTGAAACTCTTGCAAAAAATATTCATTCATGTTTACGTGTTTATGTTACATGTTTTCTTTTGATCATTCGCATTTTTAGAGGGAGAGGAGAATCCGCGTTCAATAATTTAACAGTTTCTAAAAATCTTTGATGCCTTGTTTTTAAATATTAATTCTTATATTGTCTGATTAAAAATTTCATTGTCTTCAAAAATATATGAATAGAAAATAAGAGTCTGCGGAGTAAAATAATAGGTGACACGGAGTACCTGGTCTGTAAGGCTATTTCCGTAAATGATGAATTAAATATTGAATCAAATTCCTATGTTATTAAAATTAGTTGATTAGTTAGATTAATAGTTAGAATAGTTNAGGACCAGTTGGTGAGCGCTTGGTACCAGATACCTCAGACTACCTATCAGCACCTTGTGGAATCAATGCCACGGCGGGTGCTATCAGTTTTGAGGGCTAAAGGTGGTCCTACATGTTATTAGCAGGGTGGTCATAATGTAATGGCTCTTCGGTGTATATATAAATACATAACATATATATATACCTACTGTGAAACAAATGAAAAATAAAACCCCCAACGAAGTGGATGAGTTAATTCTCGATTTTTCTCTTCTGTAAAACTAAGGATGATAAATTTTCCTATGCTCGGGTTGTTAAAGAGTTAACAATAGTGTTTGAAAGGAATAAATTGATACTAAGTTATTCATATCTATCTCATTGTTTCATTGATAATTCACGATATACGAACGATTGATTTTATTATCGGTGCGTAAATCAACACCGTGATTTTCATACAATTTTGGGGGTTCAAGAAGTCTATTTACACACCGAGACATATAGTAAATAACCCTAAAGATTTCCATCTAAATTAAAATTTGTACTTGAAATTATTTTCGCCTGCAGAAGTAGATTTAGCTGATTTAAAAACAGAAGACTTCATTTGTATTTATATGCATTTATGATACAATGAATTATGATTAGTTTTAACAAAAACAACTGATAACGATAAAATTGTCGATAAGATAAATAACTTTATAAAAGAAAATGGTAATATTTTACGAATCATATTTTTATACTAGAATTTAGTTGATTGCTTCCTGTGCGCCTTTTTGAAACGAAAAGAAGCAAAAATGGTTTTCGAGGGCTTGATGAAATTTACTGAGAAAGGAAATTTGACTTCTTTTCTATTATTCATTTTATTCATAGGTATTTCATGGACTTTGAGCTTGAACTTTATAAAATGGATTAAGCGTCGGAAAACTTTACCTCCGGGACCTATCGGGCTACCATGGGTGGGTTATTTGCCATTTTTAGGTTCAGAGCCCCACAAGACATTATGGGAGATGAAAGAAAAGTATGGAGATATAATTGGGTAAGATGGCAAAAAAATTTCTTTTTTTTCTCAGTATTACTTTTTATTTTGTTATGGATAAAAAATTGAAACTTTCTGAATCAATATGAATTACTACTTTAAATATTTTTCTTTTTTAATATCAACTCACTGAATTTCAATTTCAAGAAATTCCATGAAATTTCTCTACGTTCTGTTTGTACCCTAAATTAATTTGTTCCTTCGAAATAACATACGATGTAAAATATTCAGTAGAAAAGTACAGTGCAAAGATGTCAATGTTGTTTATTATTGAGTAAATATTATCCTATAAATTAAAGTAATTGCAGTGTAATCATTAATGTAAAAATATTTATATGTAATATTGAGTAAATACTATTCTATAAACTATTATAACTTACAGAAACTATAGTAATTACAAACTATGCCAATTATTGCTCTGGAACAAAACTCCTTGCCAGACATATTTTATGATTTGATCAATGTAAATGCATCATGAAAATTTACTAATAAATGAAATTACTATTAACTTTTTTAAATTGTAAAAAAAATACTATTAAATTTTTAAATTGTGATTATCATGAGAGATTATCATGTGAAAAATATATAATTTCAAACTTATCTTTTTACACCAAAATAAATATTGAATTTAAAAAATTTTTCTGCCGAAACTTCTGGTATATCTTTTTACGGTAACAAATGAAATATGAGAATTTGGAGATGTAGAAATGTAGTATTTTTAGGCAAGGTAGCTTTATATCAGACCACTTCGCATTTGTGCATGTGGAAGGGGTTGTGTTGTGGAACTCATGGTCAACCGAGAGGAGGTATAGTGCGGCTGTGAGGAGAACTCCTCCAGACTGAATGTCTGGGGCTGTCTGTTGCTATGGTAACAAGTGAGAGCACATTTCTAAAGGAGGTGGAATGGAGGAAAGAAGGTGTCGATTGGTTTACTCACGACGACCTACGCTAAGATTAAGATAAAACTATTCATCCCACACCCCTATTCAAAGTGACATTTCCTCGTAATCATAGTACCCGCCACGACGCGAGACGTGTGTCTGGAGGAGTTCTCCTGAAAGCCGTTCTATATCTATTGCTTTCATATTGATAGATATTGTTTTCGTGATATTTTGAAGGGTGGAACTAGATACTAGTTCAAAATATTTTTTTAAAAAATGCTTAAAAGTGTTCATTAAAAAAGCTGAAAATATTCTACGACTATGACTATATTATCGTTCTTAGAAATATACAATGTTTTTTTCTGAAAAACAAAGAAGAGTATTTTTCATTCGCAAATAGAAAACTCTATCTGTCTAAGGTATGGGTAGAACGGGATGGTTAGAAATTGTTATTTTTAAAACATATGTAACAAGTGGAAATGCAGCAAAAATTAATTGACTTTCAATTTAAAAAGGTGGAGTAGCAGTACTTTTAGTTCAAACTATGTTTAAGTTTAGAGAACACTTACCCCCCTTAGTTATCACTTTAAAAAAAAATCACAGCTGCTTCATAAGAAATATAAATAATGACTGTATTTTTAATGCGAAATTCGATTGTTAAACCTATTAAGCACAAAGAGAATTAATCTACAACAAGATAGCTAAGTAAATCAAGCCTTGAGCCATCAAAGGCTAATCAAACGGAGAACAAGCGAATTTAATCAATAAATATAAAGACAACAGAAGACTTCGTAGCAAGCATTACAGCAGGTAGTATATTACGTTACAACGTTTAAGATTATGTTATCATGCAACGTTTGGCATTGTTTTACTTTACATTTACAGTGGTCTTATTTTAATGTTTGATGATCTTATCTGCCTTAGATCAAATTCAATAAGCTTAATGCAAAGTTTGCTTAGACTTTTGCGCTGTTAACAAAGTTAAAAAGCTTTCAAGTCATATTATATTTTAAGTTTTCCATTTCTCCATGTTTCTCATATTAGTGGCCAACCAGTGTCAAATCCAATAAGCATCAAATAATAGAAAATTGTATTTGAAAGATTGCGTTAAGATATGTCTAATATTATTTATTTATACTCTATAGATAAACTTATGTTATATATATATATATGTAATAACAGGGCTACAACCCTGTTATCAGTGTTGTCTTTAGCTTGAAATAATGCTGTAGTAAGCCATCAGACGTTCTAAAGAGGTTTATTTAAATGTAGGCTGGTATTGATAACAGTTTACATCCACACTCCCTACGGGAGGGGAATGGACAAGACTTCTGACAATTCCGGAACAGCTTATCAGGATCAAATCATGATGAAAAGGACACGCAAAAACTAGTGTTCTTACGTTTTATGCCAACATAGATTTGAGGTAAAAAGGCACACTTCGTACATTCCTTGTAGCCTTACGCATTAAGGAAAATTATTTACTGCTTCCTTATATGGAAGTGAAAGAGGGAACGATTCTAAAAATAACTCTTCCTTTGAAATATAAATCTATTTATATTTCAATGGTATGTTTTCAGCCTTGAATTCCCAAAATAGAATCTCTCTACGCTTATTCTTTAACAAAGACATTTTATGAAAACGAAAGAGTTTTAATNATATATATATTAGAAAAATTGTATATATATATGATAAAAAAAAATTTCAATTATTCAATATTGTTAATTATACAGTCAAACCCCGCTATAGTGAATCTTCAAGGGACTGAAATTTCGGTTTACTATAACCGTTCCGCATACAACTTTGACTAATGGCTCCAAACTTCCCCCTTTTATAACATATTATTTAAATAAATGACTAATAAACTGAAATACAAAAATGACTGAAAAATACGCAGTGACAAAAATGTGTTCACTTTTATTTTTTATGACTTTTCGTCTTGCGTGTATTAATAAAAATTAGTAATTTTTTTTGTTGATGAGCAATCTTCAACATAAACTATGGAAGCACTTCTCGACTCCGATAATTTTTCTTGAATTTCTGTTATTCCGCTTTTTAAGCCTGTCTAACCCTACATTCGAGCACATAAAAGTAGTGTCACCAAATCGCTTAGCATATTCATCGAAGGTGACTTGATGCATTTGTCCAGTTATTGGAAGATTGCTGCTTCTTTGAATGCAGAACCAATTCAATAATGGTATTTAATAATGAAGCAAATAAGAAAAAATGCTTATTGCTACATTCCATGCTATAAATGATTTTAAAAATCGGTATGTGTATTTATTTTGAAGTAGAAATTTCGAAATAGTTTCGTAATAATGAAGAAAATAAATCAGTAGAAGTCAGAAAAAAGTTCACAGTATACAACTTCGTCTCTTTTTTTGGTTCACTATATTTTCAGAAAATAACATTATACGCGCGTAGCAATGCACGGGAGCGAACATTTCGTTCACTATATCCGGGAGTTCACTATAAATTGTGTTCACTATAACGGGGTTTGACTGTATTTGTTTATGAATTATTAATTGTAAGGCGAATTTGCATTCACATGTGTGGAAATTGAAATTTAGTGTTTCAATAGTTGGCCACTAGATTTCTATATTTTAAGACTTTTTATTGATTTTAGCTTGAAATTAGGTTCAAGGTTTACTGTTGTTTTAAATGAATATTCTGTGGCTAAGGAAGTCATAACCCATCTAGGAGCCTTAGACAGACCACCGGATCTTTTTAATCATATACCTCTTCTTGGTAAATAGCTATATGAAATACATTATATATATCTCATATCATATATTCCTATGAATTATTTTACTAATCATTACTATGATGTTTATGCTTGCTTAGTTTTCACTATAATGATATGATATTTTAGAGTACTATTATTCTAAAAGAGAACTCGGTAAAATTTATGTTTTACATTAAGTTTGAGAAAGAAAAAAATAGCGTAATTTATGCCTGATAAAGCATTTAAAAATATAGAAATGATAATGAAATTGCGATACGACGCAATACATATTCATTTTAGAAAATGCTGCAGATTTATTAAGTCAGAAACAATTAATTGTATGAATAATATCAAAAGAGTCGTTATTCTTTTTAATATAATTATCTATAAAAATGTAATAACTTTCACTTCTACGAAAAACATAGAAAAAAAAGTACAGGGACGTATACTCTTTTATGTGCCAGCAGAATGAACTTTCTGCTGTAAAATATTCGATAATAATTCCTTAATGTTAAATCCTTTAAAACTATTACAAATTCCATTTGGGTAATAAATTTATATAAAAATTTTAACTAATAATTTATAAAGTTTGATTTCATTATCAAATGAAGATACTTGAATTCAGAAAATCTATCTTCGCGAATATGCCGACCGACCTATGTAGGGGTTAGGGAACTGCCCTTACATCAGAAAGGTTCTGGATCCGAAGCCCGGTCAAGGCTTGGATGTTCTTACTTTCTCTGTACTACTGTCCTTACCGTGGGAGCAACGCTGGCCCACCTAATATGGTGCCAAAAAAGAGTGGCCAACAAATCTGCCCTTCAGGTGCCTGTATGACCTGATCATTATCCAGGTGGGCATTGGAAATTTTTTTTCCCGCGAATATTAAAAAAACTATACATTTATGAATACCTTGTTTATATTTAATGTGACGAATGGTTTCATGCATAATGCATGATGAAAGAATTTTGTTATTCAACCACAATTTTTCTAAAATTTTGATATAAACTAACGCATGATGAAAAAATTTCGTTATATAAGCGTGAATATGACGAAAAGTATTAATACATAATGCATAAGGAAAGAATTTTGTTATTCAAGCATGACTAGTGGCAAGTATTGGGATAGCTTAGAAGCAGAGTTCACTATTTCACCGTAGGGAAAGTTGAAGAGCGCGAAATATGAGTGTATTTCTTTTAACAAAGACTCCAAACTGGCACAACATTTCGATTCTTTGGTTTACTGCGATAGAAATCTCGTTAAATAAGTTAGATTTTATTAATTTTTTTTTCTCTCCAATACGCCAAATAAGGTGTCATTAATTCTAAGAGTCAGAATTTTCAGAAGTCGATTCCCCTTTTCCCCTATTCTCCATTTTTCTTTCTTTTCGACTTTCTTTACCTTCTTCCCCCGAATCGTTGAAATAAACTCTACCGGTACGCTTAACTCTTGATTTTTTACTCGCCTCCTCCTGATGATGCACCTATGCTTACCACTTTTCTTAAACAGAGGAAAAAAACAAACAAACAACAATCCTGCTTATTTGAGTTCTTTTTTAAACTTAATACTTTAAATTTTAATTTTTGCATGCTGTTAGTTTATTTATGGATCATGCTATAGTTCATTTTTTAGATGTGCAACTTTTATATTATGTAGAAGATGTACACAAGCGCTCTTTACAGGTTTTGGGGATGCAAACGGTGAAAAATGGATCGAACAAAGAAGATTTTGCTTATCCGTTAGTCGTGATCTTGGACTAGGAAGAAGTTCTTGGGAAGATCTTGTTATGGTAAGTTCCATCGCTATAAAGATTAAGCTGTTTTTAGCAAACCAAAATAAATTATCACTAACATAACAATTAGAGTGGCGATAAGAAAAGAAACCAAAAAATTAATTATCTAAATTTTTTTTTGACGGCTGCTAACAAAAATACAAAATTCAAAAGTATAGCACATCTTTCAAAGTACAATAAAAAAGTTTATGTTATTTTAATGCATGTCATGAAAATTTTGTGAAATTTTCGGTGCAACAAAAGATGACTTTCTTAAACAATTTAATATTATAGTTTTTTTTTCGTAACCCTGTAGTCTTGGTAACCAGTAAATTGGTGCGAAGTAAATTGGTATCATGAAGTAATTTCAAGAGAGTCGCATAGCGATTTTGAGTACTGGTTAGCTTCATTGAGTAGGGGAGGGGGTGGAGTAGATTGATTGATTGATTGATGAGAGATTTCTTTATTTAATTAATTATCGAATTCGAGACAATTGTCTGAATAATTTTCTTTAGTTGTTCTAACTACTAAATTTGAACAATCAAGGTTAGCCGAATTTTTACGGGGAGTCGGTAGGACAGATACCAATACGGCTAAATCCTACTCTTTTCGATGTACCTTTTCTCAGTATCTAAACAAGATATTTCTTCAGTTGTTTCTCACGGTGTATTTACGTGTACATGTTTACACAACGATAACTGTTAATGCATATCTTTGGCAGAATTGCAAAAAATTATGAACTGAAAAGTTTTAATTGTTTAAAAAGTTTCATCATTTTTAAACAAAAATCGTTCATAATTAAAAAAGTATTTCTGTTAACACTGAAACATTTACACAGCATACAACTAATATTATCTCAAATATCCCCCAAAATTTTCAAAGCTATATCATAGTTAGTATCTCAGAAAAGATACATCGAAAAAGGTCAGTTTTGATATATGCTCTATCGTCTCCCCTTAAAAGAATTGATATGAACAAAATAAACGAAAAAAAAATCCTATAAAAAAGGACATTACAGTTACTTAAGGCCACTGCTTGATGAAGTTATACTTGTGTGCATTTTTGCCTGTGGTTCGAGGCACTACACGTATGCATATAATTTGGCAAGTGACATAATATTGTTTCATTTTATTTGAGCTCTTTTTCCTTTTAAATGATTTGAGCCTGGAAGTTGAAGCAAGACCTCCAAGATTTTCTGTTCGTTAAAATAAGAAAGAAAACCTAATAAACGAATACTTCTGTTATTACTTAGCATTAAAAAGATTTCAAACTTTTCACGCTCAGGCAACATCTTGCTTCAGCTTGATAGGATCAGTGCTGAACGTGCTTGAAGTTTGCGCTGTGTTGGCGTAGTTAAGTAGAAGGACGAATTTAAAAATATGGAGAGGTGATAAATCTTTTTTGCATTAATAAGTTAAGAAAGACAGACTAATAAACGAATGTTTTTGACATTTATTAAGCATTAGCGATATTTCGCGCTTCTTTTGTTAAGTGAACATCTTTCTTCAGCTTTAAAAGATCAGCAAGTTTAAAATAGTCACTTGCAACTTACAGTTTGCACTGTTTTGATACAATTAAATAGATGGAAGAAGTTAATCAGATTGGGAGATGAAAAAATCTTTCATGTATTATCCCCTAATATATCCCTTGAGGACGGGATAGCCTGGTTAGTAGGGCGTTGAGCCCATGTCGAAGGGGTCGCGAGTTCGATCTCCGAAGACTCCCCTTGTCATAAATGGTGATTGGTGCTCGTTAAATCTGTCAGGGTCACAAAGTCCAAAATTTTCCCATAGCAAATCATATCTCTGGGAGAACTGAATCGGAGATTGATAGTTCTCTGGTTCAGTTCAAAATTACGATTTGTGGATGAATAAATGGATGTATGAATGGGTGCATCCTATAAATGGGTTGTGACGTGTGTGTGGCCGAAGTCGTATTCTTGGCCATAGGTGGCTCTGCTGAAAAACCAGAAGCGCACCTTCTGCCTTAAATACTGCTTGGTCTCACAAAGCAGGCTTGATGGATTGACAAGTGGTAATAGAAACAAAAAATATATCCTTTACTTTCAGGAAGAAGTACATAGTTTTGCTGATGAGATTCAAAACTCAGGAGGGCGCCCAGTGATTATATCTGAAACATTGGCGCACTCTGTGACATCAAACATAATCTCTCTTCTCATTGGTCGCAAGCTTAACAAGAAAGATGAAGCAAATAAAATCCAACTATCTTTAGACTTCGCTGATGTTGCCTTCACCTACATGGGACCATCTGATCCAGCTACAGTAATGCCAGGTTTGCGAAAGTTGCTAGAAGTATCCAAGATATCTGGATATAGCAGAGCGGCAAAAATTATAAAAACATTTGGAAAATTTATTAAGTAAGATTTGATTTTAAGTTATATTTTTGAATCTGATTTATAAATTGGTAGATTATATTGGGGGATGCATTTTTTGTTGCATTCATACCAAAACTTGCTCTTAGTGATTTCAATTCTGAAATTTATTTTGTTCGGAAAGCTTCAGATTTTATTTCAAAATGAGATTTTTCAATTAATTTTTTTTCTAATTGTAAAAGCTTATAAAAAACGTATAGGTTTACATACAGACATATAAACTGGTTGCTTCCATAAAAATAACATCAAGGAAAAAAAATAATGCTCTAACGAATCGCTTCATAAGTTGAATGTATTATTGCCATATTCCTACCACTCCCTACGTTGCAGGGGAGTTTCTTTCTCGTACAGGGACTATCTGAAGCGACTACTATAATGCCAGGTTTGAAAAAGTTGTTCGAAACATTCAAGATATTTGGATATAGCAGTGTGTTGTATATAGCGGTTTATAACCGCTGGTGGTTTGGGTGTTTAACTTAACCTTACGTTTGTTGCGCAAAAAATATGAAACTTCAGAAATTTAAATAACGCATAAGTATAGAAAAATGTACAGGGAGTAGAATGGAAAAAAATTTAAAATTCGATAATTTTTTATTTATGTTTAATCGATAATTTGTTACGGACTACTAATTAAAATTTTTTAAAAAGTCATTAATTTTTTGAAAAAAAATCACCAATTTGGCGACATTTTTGCACCTTGAAGAAAATTATCAAAAATCACTGCCTTATTCTCAGTTTTTGAAAATATTTATGAGGTCTAATATTTATGAGGATAAATATTTATGTTCATTGGAGTAAGTTTTGAAATATTAAAAAATAGAACCACAAAAGCTTTTGATTTCCACATAACTGGGGCTTTTCCCCATATTTTGTGACCTTTTCTGGATAAATACAGACACAGCTAGCTTTAAATAGGCTAAACTTGTCTAACTGTCATTAGTATCTGTTTCAAACGCACAGCAATTATGGAAATAACATATTATTCGTGAAAAAAGTATCATTTCATACGACGACAAAACCTTCAAAAAACAAGCATAACTGTTAACTTCTAGGAAAAAAAAAACCATACGGGCCGCTCTACAGGCCGCAGGATTATAGCTTCAAAGTCGAAACTTGGTACGTTAAAAAGACCATATTTATTTATTAATTTAACATTACTTTTCTTTAAAATTCAAATTTATTAAAAAAAGTTAATGCAATTTTAAGTACTAATAGCTTTTTTTTTTGCTTTATTTATATTTTGCTTTGCAGCACAAAATCTATTAGACTTAGAAGTGAAAAAGTACGAGGGTTACAACGGCATAAAGTAGAATTTCAATTAGTTAAGTTACTAATTGTTAATACTACGTTTTGCCCATTGAACTGAAAAACCATTTTTATTTGTGAACTTAATGCAAACTTTCTTTCGAAATTTCAATTTGATTAAAAGTTTACGCAAGTTTACGAGTTTTTCGTGTTTTTTAACTTTTTTGCTTTAAATATAGACTTTTTGCGCATTATTGCAGAAAATTTATTTTTTTCTTAACGTGATCTTGGGTTCAAGAAGAAGTCAAATTGGTAATGAACGAGATAGTGCTTGTTGTCAGATATAAATCTTATCATTTATAATGAATTTTTTAGGAAGAAAATAAGCAAACAAAGAGCAATAAAAACTACTCCTGATTTAAATTGATCAAGTCAATTATTACAATTATTTTTTTGGGTCATACAATCTGCATTCTTTAGGTTGAACTTTTTTTTAAAAATTTAAATGCTTTATTTTTCATATCCAAACACTCGTCCATTTCGTTATGATTAGAATGTTAACAAATTGTTCTTACAAAGATACAATAATTTTATATTTTGAAAGCAAAATATTCTGTATTCTCGTACGTTTAAGGGAAAAAAAAAAACTACGGTGATGAAAATCAATTACGAGGGTTGGCGAACGGAGCCTTTTAGTCTTTTCTTATTTTTCTCAACTCGAAACTTTATTTCTGCATTTCTCCGTAGAACTTTCATTGACATTACTGAGCGACTTTTTAAATATTGTGTTAAATAAGTTTAATTGTTCCAGGGAAGAAGTATATCGTCATAAGAAATCTGAAGATCGGGATGATTTCATAAACTCCTATCTTAGTAAATTGAAGAAACTAGATAGCAAAGAGAGTAATACTCAACATTACTTTTCAGGTAAAGAATATATGTATGAATATATATATATATATATATATATATATATATATATGAATA